CCTGCAGACCAGTACTCCCTAATGATCACAGCCTTGGAAACAATATGTGGCATTTCTGCCCTGTCTTGTGATGTCACTATGAGTCAGAACCGACTTGATGGCAGTGGATTTGGTCTACTGGGACTCCTCGTGTGGCGCTATAGGATAAGCACTGGACTGCGAACCAAAGGTTGGCAGTTCAAACCTACCAGCTGTCCCTCAGAAACCAGGTACACAGTTGCTATGAGTTGCTATGCAACTTTTTTTTTTTTAGCAGTTTTTTTTATATATATATATAATTTAAACAATCAAAATTCTATTCTCCTTTAAATCCACTTTTCCACGAATTTTTTGAAGTCCCGTCATATAGTAAACATCCAATAAGATCTTCTTACTTAAGTTTTTCACTTAGGTCCAGGCAACCCTTTTGTTGTTGTTAGGTGATGGGCAACAGGACAAAACACTGCCCAATCCTGCACCATCCTCACAGTTGTTCTTGGGTTGATCCCATTGTTGATACCACTGTGTCAGTCCATCTTGTTGGGGGTCTTCCTCTTTTTTTTTTTTTTTTTTTTATTAAATGTTTTTATTTTGGATTGAGTGAAAGTTTACAGGGCACGTCATCAGCTTCACATTCAACCATTCATGTGGAATCAACTTGATGGCACTTAACAGCAACAAATGGTTTAGTAGTTGGTAAACAAAATCATACATCCTAACTACTCATGGTCCTTGAATTGAGAGCTCAGACTGGGAATTTCCCCAGCCTCAGAGTAATTTGAAATGGTAGCCGAGGGTGGATAGCTGGTCTGCCCCTAAGCAGCTGGCCAATGGGCAGTTATTTACTGTGACTGTTTCAAGGAGAGCACAGCCTGCAGGACCCAGGAATTGTGGGTCTCAAACTCTTCTCCCACTTTGCCTCCCTTCTGTTGACTTCCATTTAGGCAGAGTATGGGTTGCTTTCTAGAAAGAGAAAAGATCACCATAACAAAGCTGTTCCCTCCTTTGTCTGCTTTTAGATAAGCTGTTTCTCTAGACTACCTTCATGAAGGTCACAGAAGTAGCCAACACACACTAACATCCTCCCACTCTTTAACCAGGCTTGCCAGCTCCCCTTTGCACCATGGCCCTTCTCGACTCAGCCAATTCCACAGGCTATCGATTATAGCCTTACCCAGTGAGTCCCTGGGATGATGTAATTGATTATTACACTTGGCTGTTTACCAAAAGTTTGGAGGTTAAAGTCTATCCAGAGGCACCTTGAAAGCAAGACCTGGCCATCCATTTCAATCTCTACTAAAATCGGCCATTGAAAACCCTATGGAGCACAGGCCTACTCTGACACATAAGTTAGAGTGAGCTAGACAGCAACTGCTTACCGGTTATCACTTTAAAAACCACACTTCAGATTCCCAAAGCAAACTGTTTTAAGCAAAAGGGGGATTTTTCTTGGTTAACGGAACTGAAAAAATCTGGGGGACAACCAGCTGTTGCCCTCAGAGCCTCAAATAACAACCCCAGACTCCTGTCTCTGCTTCCCTTTGTGGAGAGTTCATTTTCAGGTAGTTCCATCACCCATTACCATCAAGTTGATACTGACTCATAGTGTCACTATAGGACAGAGACGTTCTCCTTGACGTTTCCAAGACTAAATCTTTACAGGAGCAGACAACTTCATCTTTCTCCCTTGGAGTGGATTTGAACTGTTGACCTTACAGTTGGCAGTTCAGTGCTTAGCCCACTGTGCCACCAAGACTCCTTCAGGTAGCTCCAGGCTCTACTGGTCAACTCTAGTGAGAAGTGAATGGGTCCTCTTCTTGCCAGCAGTTCTGAAAAGAATACCTGGATTGGCATTTATTCTCCCATTGGCATATGTGCCATCCATACCCAGTCACTATGGACGGATTGGAAAGAAAGTCAAGTGGCTGGCCAGGCATCGTTTACACAAACTCAGTTAAGCTGTGAGAGGGAAGGGTGACTCCCTGCAGAGCACTGAATCGCTTCATATGGCTTTTCCAGCCATAGTCTTTATAAAACTCACCAAATGAGTTTTTACCTGGTGGGTAAAGGTAAAAGAAGGTAGGGGAAGATGCTGAACAGATTGTATGATTCAGTTATGAGTGATTGTTTACAGGGCCCATTGGATTGTAAAAAGTTTAGAAATCTAACAAGGAGATTGGCCAATTTTGCCATCCTTCTCTGGGTATCAACTGAGCCATCTCAGTAGCAGAAGAAGGGAATCTCACTACCATCAAGAAAGAACAGCCAGGGGTGAAGTGCTTCCTTTGGTCCTTAAGATCCCTGCACATGGAACCTCCTTGATCCAGGGACAAAAAAACACATCAGAGGAGCAGCCACAGCAGAACCACAAGATGTAGAACACGAGACAGAGCAGAGCTTCCCAGCCCATGGATCAAGTCAAGCTGAGTGCCTTCGGAAAAGAGGCTTGTTTGTAGAATAAGGTACCTCCATCCGCTTAACTAAGCAGCTCTTGTAGTGTAGTGGTTATGAGTCGGGCTGCTAACTTCAAGGTCAACCATTTCAAACTACTAGTGGTTCCACGGGAGAAAGATGAGGCTTCCTGCTCTTGTAAAAATTTAAAGTCTCAGAAACCCTATACAGGGTCACTATGAGTCGAAACTGACTCCACTGCACACCACCACCACCACCAGCCAGTTAACTGAGGAGCTAGGTTTGCCAACTCACATAGCTTGAGCCAAGCACCTCTGGGCTGAGGCTTATACCAGAGTGAGTGCCCTTTGGGCATTTATTTGTTGTTGTTGTTAGGTGCCGACTCTTAGAGACCTTATAATCAGCCTTAAAAGAGCTTTGTAGCCTTGCCCTGACAGGGCAGAGACTAGATCCCTCTGCCAAGGGCCAAAGAAAAACCTGCCTGTGGGCATGGATGAAAAGAAAAGATACTTCAGACCTAATAACTATAGCTTTAACGTTTCTGATCCTGAAATGTAACTTGCTAACGTTCTTAATAAACTCCATAATTTTGAGTATAGTCTGAAGTTCTGTATAGCCATCGCAGTGAATTATGAACCCCAGTTGAGGTGTAGACAGTGCTGTGGGCTGGATGGTTGGTGTTAGAAATGGTAAGGAAGGGTAGAGGTATGTCTGACCTCAGCCTTCTAGAAACCAGCTTTGGCTTGAGGGTGATTCTCCTCCTTTCTGGTGTAATCAGAAGAGGTCACAGGGCGCTGCGCCCTGCCCCTCATCTTATACTCCCTAAAGGGACACCCAAGGAACTTTTACCTGAGGAAGAGGTAACATTTGCTGGGCCAGCAAAAATTAACAGGCCACCACAGGGATTTAACAGAATGGTTACGAGGGAAAAATGAAGTAGAACAAGCAAATGCCAAATTGATATTGCTGGGCTTCATCCAGTAAAAACATGTACCCTAAATGCAAACCACATAAAAAAGAAAAAGAAAGACGCTGATGACATTGATTTTTTTGCTGTTTATTTAATACTATTTTGTTGTTGTTAAAGTGCCACCGAATTGGTTCCAATCCTTCCAAGGAGTGACTAGTGAGCTTGAAACACTAACCTTGTGATTGAAACTGAGTTTTGTCCAGCACATTAACCCATACAGTTACACCAGGACTCCATCTTCATGAGGATAATCTGCCTTAAAGTGAGCCTGATTGCACATCACACTGTGGTTGTCCTGCTGTGAGCTATAGGATCAGCAATGGGCTGCTAACCACAAGGCTGATGGTTCAAACGCACCAGCCGCTCCTTGGAAACTCTGTACAGGGTCACAACGAATCAGAACTAACTTGATGGCACTTAACAACACAACATGTTGTTGTTTAACTGATGCCCCAGCTCATGTCTTGACACGCAGCTCATGCATACTGCTAGTACATACCAGTTACTGTTTAATGATCTGCCTTCTCCCATTAACTCAAAGCCTTAAGGAGGCAGGTCCATCTCTGCCTTGCTTACCTCTGTTCCCAATGCCCAATGTCCAGTACAAGGAAGGTACTGAGGGGATACTTCTAAAAGTGAAATAGAATTGAATTTGAAATAGGCGAAAACTTCACATCTATCTTGTTTCATGACAAAATGGGAAATCCATCCTAGTTGATGACCAAGATTTGGTTATTCTTATAAGTGGTCATTGGTAGTGTGTGGTTACTTATGCTCCTGTTCAATTGCTCTTTCTTCCATTGAATGTATTTACCAAGTGATCAGATACCTGCAGAAACCTAGTCTCTGTGCCAAGCATTTGGGTGGACAAAGATAAGTGAGAAGCAGTTCTTGTCTTTAAGGAAATAAAAAACTGTTAAGTAGAGTAACTTTTACAATACAAGAGGGCTTCAGTAAGTGTGTGGCAAAATGGAATAGACAGATAATAGAATTTTCCCACAAACTTTATAAAGCCCCCTCATATATCCAATAAATGTTATGATAGAAATAAACACAGTGTGTGGAGAACATGAAGACGGGTATCCAACCGACATCAGAGACTAGGGGTTGGACTGGAGAAGGGTTCTGGGGAAATGTGGTTTTCACTCATGAGCCCTTGTATCCCTAGCATCTAGTTAGTTCTGTGCCTTAGTGATGCTGGTGTTGGACTGCTAAGCACTATGTTAATAGTTCAAACCCACCAGCCGCTACACAGTAGAAAGATAAGACTGTTCTTGTAAAGATTTACAGTCTTGGAAGCCCTATGTAGGGTCACTATGAGTCAGAATCAATTGGATGGCAGTGGGGTTTTGTCGTATGGCTGGCACACAATGGAATAAATGAATAGATGAACCAAGTGACTCCTGGGACTCCTAAAGGATAGTTGGGTTTATTCATCTGAGGGTAAAAGAACTGTCATCTCCGGTGAAGAGAGTTTGTGTGATGGTCCAGCCTCCAGAGGTAGAGTCCCAAATGTCAGTTGACAAGTTTCTGAATCAGGTGGGGCAGAGATTGTATATTTGGCATGGACAGTTACAAACAGCCTCCCTTCTTGTTACTGACATGACCAGTGACCAAGGATTGTGTTTTCTTATTACAGGCAAAGCGAAGGCTGGAGCTAGGAGAAGGTGGTCATCAGTACCTCTCAGATGGTTTAAAAACCCCCAAGGGCAAAGGAAGAGCTGCACTCCGAAGTCCAGATAGTCCAAAAAGTAAGGTTCCTTTTATCCCTTTCCTTATTCTCTTTGTTGTGTGTTATTGATTGACTGTGTCCCTCAAAAACCATGTGATGTAATTTCTAACCTCTTTGCCTATAACTATATTCCATTGGGGTATTGGTTGTGTTTGTTACGTTAATGAGACAGGGTTAGTTTAGGATGTATGCTGAGTTCATCTCTTTTGATATCTAAAAGAGATTAAATGCAGATTAATGCCCTGGACTACAAGTTCCGTTTGAACCTCAAGGTTGGCGGCTCAAGCTCACCAGCCTCTCCTCAGAAATCCTATACAGACAGGGTGGCTGTGAGGCACTCAGCAACAACAACATCAAGCAGAGACAAGGAAGAGAGCTGTCAAGCCACATGAAGCATGTCAGGAACAGAAGAAAAAGGGCTTTCTCCTCCAGAGTCCACAGAAAGAAGCTTTCCCCTGTTGCTGGCAGCCTGAGTTCGGACTTGGAGCCTCCTAAACTGTGACAAAATAAGTTTCTGTTTGTTAAAGCCATCCACTTGTGATATTTCTATTATAGCATCACTAGATGATTAAAGACAGATTTGGTACTGGAAAAGTGGGGTGTTGCTCTAACAGGTACCTAAAATATGAAAGCAGTTTTCGAATTGGGTAATGGGTAGAGGCTGGAAAAGCCTAGATTGCCTTAAAGAGACTTGGCCGAATTATTGAAGTCAAAGGCATTTGGGGTTTTTTTGTTTTGTTTTGTTTTGTTTTTCTTTTACTTTTTATTGTGAATTCAAGGAAGGTTTACAGACAAGATCATGAGCTCCACATTCAACAAACCATCTCAATGTTACAGTACTCTCCCTGCCTCAACATTTATCCCAATTCCTTCCTGTGGCTCCCCATTTACATCTTATATTTCACAAATAAGGAAAATAATAATAATAATACATATTCATTTAAATGTCCAAAGGGCACATTCTGTCAAAGATAATTCTTGAGAAGAACTATAGTGAAAATCTCTATTGTCTTAGAGAATACATAGGGCACCAACAATAGAATGTGACTAGAAATGTGGGTGTTAAATCTACATCTAGAGAGGCCTTAAAAGAAAATGATGAACATGTGATTGGACAGTGGAGAGAGTAATTCTTTTTATACAGTGGCAAAAAGGTTGTCCAGGGTCTACTCAAATGTTTGGTAGAATGTAGAACTTGTAAGTGATGAACTTGGATATCTGAAGAGATTGTGAAGAAAGATCTCAAAGGGGCCATGTGGTTTCTCCTTGCTACTTATAGTAAAGTGCTAGAAGAATGAGATGGACTTACAAATGAACTGTACAAAATGAAAAACAGAGCTTAAAGATTTTGAAAATTCTGTTATAGAAACAAAAAAAACACATATCTTAGAATGTTCCCCAAGCATGTAAATATACAATCTTTTGTGAAAGAGATTAAGCCTGTGCCTGATGGATCCAACTAACTACCATAGCAGACAGCCCATCAATTTAGACTTAGGTGAACAGAGAAAGAGCTAAAGAAAAGAATTCTACCAGCAGGAAGCAGGAGCTATATCTGATGTCCTCCAAGAAAATAAAAGGACCATTCCTGAAGCATCTTGGGAGATGAACAGAAATGGAAGGAACAAGGAAAGCAGGGCCTCCTCTGTGTTAAAGGGTGGGCCCACAACCTCCTATTTTTCAAGGAGTTGATCTTCACAAATTCAGTTTAATGTGGACTGTGGAGCTACCATTAAGATTTGTCAGTAGGATGGGGCCACCACCCAAAGCTCACGGATGGGCAGGGCTGCCCAAGGGCAGAAGTAAGGGAATGCAAGGGGCCAATGGGCTAGTGTTGCCACTAGAAGAATGGAGCCTACCAAAGCCAAGGGAGCAGAATGGAAGCCCAGGGCCCTCCAACCAGAAAGCAGAGAATTATTATCAAGCCTCAAGAGGTAAAGTTTGAGATTTGCTTATTGCCCATTATCCCTTCTTTTCCACCAATATCTCCGATTTGGGTGGAAATGTCTACCTTGTGCTGGTTACATCATTTATTGTGTTACATAGTTTTATTGTGTTGTTGGGTGGTTTACTGGTCTAATGGAAACTATACCCCTTAACACCCCTCAAGCTTGGACCTGAACTCATCCATGCAGGTCAGCATTCTGCCAAACAATAGAAAGGTATATAAGGTGAACTGGTGTGGCTATGTGGGTTAATGCACTGGACAGCAAAGTTGGTTTTATCCGCGAAACTAGTAGTTCAAGCTCACCAGCTGCACCTCAGAAACCCTATACAGGGTTTGCTATGGGTCAGAACTTGACTTAACGGCACTTAACAACAACAACAACTTAAAGTGAACAGTAACAACAGACAGGTACACACCCCTTAGAGCAGTCAACCCTATGAGATTAAAAAAAAAAAAAAGGGGGGGCCTCATTTGCCCAGGGACAAAGCTGAGAAGACAGGAAGGGATAGGAAAGAACAAATGGAAACAGAGCCCACAGGGAGGAAATGGGAAGAGTGTTGGTAGATTGTGGGGACTGCAATCAATGTTGTGAAGCAAAATGTGTGTGAATTGTTGACTGGAAAACCAATGTGCTCTGGAAACGTTCACCCAAATCACAAGTTAAGAAAAAGACTGAGCCAAATACTAAATAAAGAGGGAGCCTACATTCTAACTCATCTGGCTAGCTGTCATCTCCATGCCACCTCCAACTCATAAGCAGCTTCTGAGAGTTCAGGGCACTCCACACTGACAAACAAGTTGGGTTCCATGTGTATAAAGATTTCCTGAGGCTGTGAAAGTCTCTTTTAACATGTAAAACTGAGGTCCTAGGCATGATCTGAAAATGTCTGACTTAAGTCAGAATCACAACTCCTTTTTTTTTTTTAAATTAAACTTTAACTTATTTTAAATCTCTCTTCTGCCTTCCTAAGACGAGAGACTGTGACTTAGTCTTGTGACATGTAACTTCTTGTAAAACTTTAACCATCCTCAGCAAACATTGGAAGAAGCAAGAATGTGGTTTGCCAGGAAATGTTTACCAGGATGATCTTGGGAGGATACTTGCTAAGCATGCCCCAGGAAGAACATGTATGTAGACATTTCCAAAAATCACTTGCTAGGTTAACTCCAAGGACAAACAATTCCATTTTGGAAGGAGCACAGGATGCTCCTTAGAAATGAAGATGGGAAGACTTCATCTCTCATATTTTGGACATGTTATCGGGAGGGACCCATCCCTAGAGAAGGACATCCTGTTTGGTAAAGTAGAGGGTCAGTGAAAAGAAGGAAGATCCCCCCAAGAAGATGTAATGGAACAGTGGTTACAGCAATGGGCTAATAAAAAAAATTTTTAAAGTTATACGCAAGCCAGCAAAGAGAGAAACAAGTTAGCAGAGAAACAAAGAAAAGACACGTCATGTCACATGAAGGTTGCCCAGGAGTAGAATTTCAAAAGAGACAAGGACCTTTCTCTTGACTCACCAGAGAAAGAAAGCCTTCACCAAGAAACAGCACCCTGAATTTAAACTTCCAGTCTCCTAAACTGTTAGGAAAGAAATTTCTGTTCATTCATCCCACCCATTTGTGGTGTTTCTGTTATAACAGCCCTAGATAACTAAGACAGTGTGGGATTCCCAGCTTTCGAGGCTTGTGGCTAGTAGGATGTCATGGTGTGAATGATTGTGGTGTGGCGTGTACTTTTGCATCTTTTGGTGTCAATCCAGAAAATAAATACAGTATCTGCAGGCACCTAGTCACTCAGCTACCTAAGTACTGACTTAAGGGGAGGCCTCTTTAAATGTGTGTATTTAGTAGCAGTATTCAGGTAGCATCATTTTCAACTCAGAATATAAGATGTTTGGTAATGTTGTATGATAAAATGTAAGTTTAACTTTCCTTTATGGACTTGACTTCAGAGTCTTAGGGCTAACAGAATCTGGAACAGACAGCAATGCCCGTGCTAACCTGTATCTCTAGTTCAGCACATAGGAGTTGATTGAAGTCAATAAATTACAGCTAGTTTTCCCTTGCCATCAAACAGCTATCGTTTCTTTTGGGAGAGAGAGAAAAATAGGTTAGAAATACCCAAATCATACTTTGATATCTTTTGCATTTAACATAAAGGCTAAATTACACTATGTTCTCTCCTTTTTCTGGTTTGTGCATTCAGGCAGTCCTTATTTTGTGCCTAATGCAAAATTAAGCGCAGTATTAACTAAGGAAGTTTCATTCAAGAGAGATGGGGAGATGTACCAGAAAAACATTTCCAGGTGTTTGCCATCCAAACAGAGCATTGTTTGAAAAATCAGTGAACAAGTTATACACGCAGAGAAACACTGGAGCCTCTATATTGCCCTAGAAACACACAAGCCCTGTTACAATGGGGCTGTTTGAGCTCCTGTCCTGCATACTGGAGAAATCGTAGCATGACTCCATTGCGTTAAGCCCCACTTGATGCTGATTCCATGAGGCCTACAACCTTTTCTGATTCATTCAACGGGTCTTTCTGAGCATCTACTACGGGTGAGTTACTTCACTAGACCCCGGGAATAGGTAGGGTAAGCCAAAAGCAAAACTGCTGAGAACTTCAAAGTGCAGCACTTGAATCTGATGCAAGAGTTTTTACTGCCCCTTCTGTTTCTAATAAAACAATTCCATAGCTTTCTATAGCTTGCCTAAAGCACCAGCAACAAAGCTTTGCTTCAGATACTAATGCTTGGGGAAAGAGGGCTTATTTAACTGCAAAGACACCCTTCATTTCTTTACCTCTCCCTGTCCTACCCACCCCCAACCCCATCCGCTTGGTTTTTGTTTTTCTTTAAGCTCCAAAATCTCCCTCAGAAAAAACACGGTATGATACGTCCCTTGGTCTGCTCACCAAGAAGTTCATTCAGCTACTGAGCCAATCACCCGATGGGGTCTTGGATTTGAACAAGGCAGCAGAAGTGCTTAAAGTGCAAAAGAGAAGGATTTATGACATCACCAATGTCCTGGAAGGCATCCATCTCATTAAGAAGAAATCTAAAAACAACGTTCAGTGGATGTGAGTATGAGCCCACAGCCTCCCTGTTCCTTGTGTCTGACTGACAGGGTAGTTTGAAATTTTGCATCTGTTTTTCTTAGTTCTATCTTTCCCATTCTTGCTCACACTTCTTTTCTCTCCTCCTCCATTCTTCTCTGTCACTCTCTCTCCCCTTCCTACTGTCTTAGCCAGAGTTTGTGAATCTTTAAAGAGAGACTTTCTGTTGACATATTATTAAAGAGAAAAGAGTGTATATTTAATTAGCTGCAAGCAAGGAGATTCTTAGATGAATTGAGGCACAAATGTCAGTTGGAATGCAGCTCTTTCGTTATGTTGAAATCTATATGTGTGTTCACATATGAAATCTTAAAGATGCTTATACACTTGTCTTTGAAATTAACTAAGGTTTACAGGTCATCTGAAGGAGCTCTTGTAGCTTAGTGGTAACAAATCTGGCTATTAATCTCACAGTCAGCAGTTCAAAACTGCCGCCAGCAGTTCCACGGGAGAAAGAGGAGGCTTTCTGCTCTCATAAAGATTTATAGCCTTGGAAACCCTCTATGAGTCGGAACTGACTCCACGGTACATCACCACCATGTGGCCTCTGTATGGACGTGCCTAACCACACAAGCCTATATCTTCACCCATGGTAATAATAGATTGATTCATTTTCTTTGCAAATGAAGGCAAACTTAAATACCTCCATTTCTTTTATCAAGCAGGGTGCCAACACTTAACCACTTGTAAAACCCCCAAGAGTAAAGAAATACATAATGTCATTTGTTTATTATATACAGAGCATCTAAACAGCCAGAATTTTATAAAGATGGTTGAAAAGCCTGTTATGAGGTAGCTTTTACAAAATGCCACTTCAAACATGATAACATCAACAGGCAACTTTTGTGTACTTTTTAACATTTTGTGACAGTTGGATTAACCCATTTTGGCCTGTAGGTTAGAGAAACCTATAGATGTCAGTCTTTATCCTTGCAAACAGCATATACATTAGTTTCCTTTACTTTTTTTCTTTTTGATGGTTGGTATACCACCCTCTGGAATTACCTGAGTCTTTCATACTTTTTTAATCATTTTTTTTTTAAACCATTTAGTCTTTCAAAGACGTATCTTTTTATCTTTCTATCACCTTCCCCCTTACTTACCCCAGAAGGCATGTAGTAGGGAAGCGCCTCCTTTTTGCCCTTCGAATTTGAGCCTTATGAAGAATCAGGACACCCCACCACTACCCCAATAGAGAAAAGTAGAAATAGCAGAGTGTCTTGTCACTTAATTTCTATGGCGTGAAAAGTAAAGGGCTATATTTATGGGGGGAAATTGTACATGAATGTTCTCATTTAACACTTGACTTATACACAGTTTGAACTCCCATATCAAGAGGGGACATCTGCCCCAAGGACCACTTCTCCTTCCTCTCCCCCAGCCCCTCGTACTGGCCTCTCCCAAGCCGCCATCAAGAGTGTGTGTTTGGATTCCTAGGGGTTGCAGTCTCTCTGAGGACGGGGGCATGCTGGCCCAGTGCCAAGGCCTGTCAAAAGAAGTGACTGAGCTCAGTCAGGAAGAAAAGAAACTAGATGAACTGATCCAAAGCTGTACCCTGGACCTCAAACTGTTAACCGAGGATTCAGAGAATCAAAGATATCCTTTGTGCTACCTGTTCATTTGGTGGGGTGGGGTGGGGGGGGGGTAGTGCCTTCTTGACTCTTTCTAGAGTTGGCAATATGATTTATACCCTGGGTAAGAACTTTATTTACTCTGGTCTCATGAAGTTGAGCGTGTGTGTGTAAGCACACTTAGTTTTGCCTAAAAAATCAATATAAGATATTCATTAGACTAGATCCTATGATAATTGTTTTGATAGTAGGGTTAGAACTGTGTTTTCAAGCATTTTATTCATGTGAGGTCGGGACATATGGATACAGTCATAGCGTAAGGCCATTAATATTATAAGCCTAAAGTGTCAGTATTAATATTAATGACAACATTTAGCAGATTCATCTTTGGCTTCCCAGATTTCTGGTGGGTGTTAGCTGTCACTGTTGCGGTTCTCACATTCTATCTTCTTTTCATCAGATAGTGTAGCAGTTGGAATTTGTTGAATCTATCTGATTGGGTTGTAATCGAAGGGTTTGAGAAGAGTATAAGACAATCATACTACAACTTTTAAAGTGCTTCATGCTGATTCCAAGCACCAAAAACTGATTTCAGGAGCACCTCTTGGCCTGAGAAATCTCAATTCATCTATTCATCTACAAACATTAGCTCCTGAAGATTAAAAATATATATATGAAAAACTCCATCTTGCTGTCAAGGCTCCACTTGCTGGCTGTTAACTGTCTCAGGAAGTTTGTTCTTCATTCTTTTACTAAGAGATCAAAAAGAGAAAGATACTGACTGCTTCATTAGGTAGAAGAGAAGATTTTTCAGATATTCTCAATTATTAGTAGAAGACAAAAACAGTATTTTAACTTAACTTACCTCTAAAGTATGTTCCAAACTTTGGATTATTCTGCATTTACCTCTGTTGCCCAGAAAATGCCCTTCTAGTATCTCGTCTCTTAGAAACTTTGCCTCAAAATCTATGAGGACAGTTACTAAAGAATATCTCAGGTTTTTTAACACACTGTTTTAGGGTTAACTACAACAACATAGAGCCCTGATAGGTACAATCAGTAAAACATTGGTCTTCTAACCAGAAAGTTGGTGGTCTGAGCCTGCCAGCCCCTCCACAGGGGAAAGATGTGTCCATCTGCTTCTACAGAGGTTTACAGCCTTGGAAACCCTATGGTGCAGTTTGGCTCTGTCCTGACAGATCTCTATGAGTCAGAATCCCCTCAGTGGCATTGGGCGGTTGTAGTCTTAGGGTTCTCTAGAGACTTAGAACCCATAAACTACATATACATATAAAGAGAGATTTCTTTTCAAAAATTGGCTTAAGCTGTTGTAGAGATTGTCAAGTCCAAAATCTTGTAGCACAACATCCATAGGTTCGACCAGAGAAGAGTAAAGGCATTCTGGCAAAATGTCTATTTATATTCTGGAGAAAGAACATTTGCTATGGAAGACTGCCTTTTTGCTCTTAAAACTTTCAGTTGATTGGATGAGGGTGATCACATGTAACTATTTAATAACAGCATCTAGACCACTGGACACCATAGCCTAGCCAAGTTGGCACGTCAAATTAACCATCACACATGCCATTCTTATTTCCCTATTGACCAAAGAATTGACCCTATCAGCTGATAATTAGTGAGATGGAGAAAAGGGGAATGCTGTTTAAGAACCCCTCCATTGGTGGCCAGAGTAGGCTTGCAGGGGTAAAGAAGAGTAGCTTCCCTTGGGCTGTTTCATTCGTTGTTTGGATGAGAGCCTCATTGCAGAAGAGAGTGGTAGTTTCACATGATTGGCAACCTCACAGAACATGTAGTTTGTGGCATTGTCGCCAACATTAGTTTTCTCTCTGACCTTTTGTTGCAGAAAAAGAAAAATTCCTTGCAGGGGTACGCTAACGCAAGAGACAAATTCAGAAGGGAGCCAGAAAGGAAACACTTTTAAGTTTGTAAGATTAGAGAATATGTTTGCACAATTTATTTCAATTCCGTTCCCAATTTGGTACAGCTTGTTCATGAATGTGTTGAAATTTTCCTTCCTGCAGCATATTGAGAAAGATGAGTTTTATTCTAATAAGTTCTTGTCTTGTTTTAATAGCTTTTTGAGAGCGTGAGGTAAGGTAACTAACTACCTGGTCATCCGTTTTCCCTAGGATTCTGAATAAAACTTCAGAACTATCAAGCCTTCTGTGCAGACACCAGTTGGCTTCCTTAATGAAATAAGTGGTCATTAAAAAACCAAAATTCTGCCCAAGTAGTCACCATCAAGCTCAACATTGAATTGTCTGTTGTCTTAGAGAAGATAGTCTGTGATAGATCCCCCTCAAATATATGTGCAGATTTTATGTGGGTGTGCTTTTTTCTGGGGAATTAATTTAATCATTTCCTCCAGGTCCCTGGGTGGTGCAAGTGAGTCCTAGTGTGGTGCTGTGGGCTAATGCATCAGACTGCAAAGTTGTTTGAACTGCAAGGCTGGTGGTTCGAGCTCCTTGGAAATCCTATACAGGGTCTCTTATGGGTCAGAATCAACTCAACAGCACTTAACAACAACAACAACATTAACCTAAAGGTTGGTGATTCCCACCCATCCAAAAGCAGCAGCATGGAGGAAAAGGCTTTATGCTTCCATAAATACTGATGCTGGTAGTGATTGTCAGCCACCAAGTCAGTTCCAACTCATAGCAACCCTGTATAGAGTTTCTGAAAGTGTACATCTTTATAGGAGCAGAAAGCCTCCTCTTTCTCCCATGGAGCAACTGGTAGATTCAAACTACTGAACTTGTAGTTAGCAGTCCACCTCATAATTCACTACCAGAGTTCCTTTCCATAAATAAATACCATGGCCAAGAAAACCGTATGGGCTAGTTCTCTTCTCTAACACAAGGAGTCTCCATGAGTTGGACTCGATAGCAATGGGTTTTTTGTTTGCTTAATTCTCAGGTTCTCAAAGCCCTATTTCTATATTAAATATGTTATCTATATTAAATAAATATGCTATATTTATCACCTGCAAAAATACCGTCACTGAGTTGTGATTTGCTGTTCTATTCCTAGCAGCTTTTGCAGGTTATTATAGAAAAGACATGTTATGTACCAGTTACTACAACTGTTTAAAGACATGTTGCATTAATTATGCTATCCCCTGTCCCTTATATACAAAAGGCATGCAGCCAATTCTATGTTAATACCTAGTCTGAGTTTGTCTCTCTAGATAAGCTTGCACAAATCATTTTGTCATGTATTAATTGCCATAGTCTTTCATGGTGTGCTTTTGAGGTTCAGCCGTCAGAACTCTTATAAGAGTTGTTCAGTACTAAATAACTACCAAAAGTACTGAAATATTATCTTTCTTTGTTTTCCTAAATCCGTATTTCTCAAATTCATGCAGGTTGCCAATCATCTGGATGCTGCTTTCCTCCTTGTAACTCTGCAGTATTGATAAGGTTAATAATGTCATACAAAGGCTGATTTTTCTAACAGAAGAAATGACACTCTTTTCTGTAGGCAATATATAATCCTAACCAGCCCAGATACAGTTGAGACTAGCAAGCTGTCTGAGCAATTCTCCCATCAATATGTCCATTTCTATTTTTTCATTCATTGGGGTGGCTGTTGGCACTGGCTAATACTCAAGTAGCAGGTAGAAGTAATTAGAGTATCAAAAGAGATTCTGGGAAGTCAAGCTTGCAAATTTTTTGCAAATTGGGGTCTGTCTTCATTCGGTTTGAATGACACAACCCTTTATCTAGTGCTCATGGAATTGCCTGTGTTTCAGAAGAACCTGGCTTGAAATTCCAGGGTTTTTCTTTTCTTTTGATAATTTGCTTTACCTATTCTACTACTGTGTTTCAGTCATTTAAATATCCACAAACTTTTACAAAGAGACTCTATTAAATTGTAATCTATTGTTGTTAAAATATCAGCCAGGAAACATTTCAGAGGGAGCCTCATGGATTCAGAGATCTAGAAAAGAATATATATAGTCTCATGAGTACTTTGAACTTTCTCCACATATCTATTTTGTTGCTTTCATGAAGGTTACTTCTGAGACAGTATAACAAATTTCCTTAACACTTAACCACGTTAGCTTATGTTACATATCAAGATATTCGAAAAATTAGTGGCCTTAAAGACCAAACTGTTATAGTTGTGAAAGCCCCTCCAGAAACAAGACTTGAAGTGCCTGATCCACTTGAGGTAAGGAGACAGCGTCTTTGTTTATCCACAAAGATCTTGTTGGGATGGCGGAAGTGAAGAGTCACTGACTTAGATTTGAAGTTTGTTCCCTCCAGAAAGTGTCATCATTCTTTCCTATCCGTCTTATTGATCCCTAAAATTAATAATCATTTCAGCTGTTTGATATTTATTGCGTATTCAAAACAAAAAGATGTTAACACGGCAGAGCCCTGCCCACCCAGTCGTGCACTTTTTTGTCTTTTTTATAATTTGTTATCTGGTGGTTCTGATCAATTTGAGAAATTTAAAAAAATCATACGTTGATTATTCTGTGCATATTTGACCTCCACCATAAATAGAGATGTGAAATGTTTTAAAGTATCGATCTTAACTTTTATCTTGACATATTTAAAGAATTGGTTATATCTGGCATGTTTAATTTTAAGGAACCAAATGGGAATCTGGGTTAGTTCATAGACTATAGAATGTTGTTCACACAGTAGGGAACTTTTTTTTTTTTTTTTGCCAATGATTGGTGTCAGATATACTTTGATGATACTGGTCCAGACTATATAACCATAAGATAAAGAAATGTCATTTAAAAATTCAAGATTTACATAAAAGATAAAAAAGCATTAAATTTTCAAGCTCCCACCTAGGGTAGAGTGTGCACTTTAAGTAACAGTAATAGCTCTATGACCTAGATGAGGAGGAATTTTCAATTCTTATGGGTCTTCATTCTATATTAGGCTAAGTGCCTATACTTAAGAATGATCATTGTTAAAATCCAACATAAAAGAGCCCTACTAAAAGGGAATAATTGCATGAAAATGCTGTATTTGTAACAGTTAAAGGATCTTTCAGTAATTTTCAACATACCCAAAAAAAAGAATATTTAAAGGGCACATGCCTCTCCCGTAATGCTTTTTTCACATATTGACCCCTCAAAAAATATTCTTTCTCTAGACTTGGAATTGGCAAACTTTTCTGTAAAAGTGGTTAGATGGTAAATAGTTTTTACTTTGAGAGTCATAAAGTCTGTTGCAACTCTCCAGCTACTCAGTTCTGCTATTTAGTGTGAATGCAAGCAGCCAGCAACAATATGTAAACAATGAGAGTAAGTGTAGCTCTGATCCAATAAAACTTTATTTACAAAACCAATTGGAGGGCCAGAGTTGGCCTATAGACCTTAGTTTATTAACTCCTGCTATATATGATAACAGTCTTGATAAACAATAGACTACCATCAAAGAAACAAAATGGCCCATGAAAATTATCCATACTTTACATTGTTGGATCTTTCAGCTTGAATCTCTCTCACTTCTTCCAAAATTATCCATACTTTACATTGTTGGATCTTTCAGCTTGAATCTCTCTCACTTCTTCCGTTCATAGAGCCTACAAATTCATTTGTCAAGTACCCAAGGACCCATTGAGGTTTACTTATGTCCAGAAGAGACTGAAACTCACAGTCCAATGAAAACAAACAACCAAGACCACAATGGGAATATCCCTAAACCCACTTCCAAAGGTAAAAAATAAAAATCCACTTTTGTCATTTGAAAACAGTCTCAAGAATGCAGGAGATTGCAATCATTGCAATGAAATGAAATAAGATAGGATGAATGTAAAGCTAATGTTCTCCCATGTAAGTTATCACATAATTCACAATAAAAACTTAAAAAAAAAAAAAGAATGCAGCTGATTAGAATGAGCCTGTGTTGAAACCACAAATCTAGGCAAGAAACAAAAACTTCGGTTGTTAGTATTATTATTTGTTGTTGTTAAGTACCATTGAGTCCATTGCGACTCATAGCAACCGTGTATAGGGTTTCTGAGGAGACACTGGTGAACTTGAACCGCCATTCTTGAGGTTCAACCAACCTTGCAGTCCAGCGCATGAATCCACAACCAAACCAGGACTCCTATTATTGTTATTAGGGCTCCCTTTTTTTTTTTTCCTTTTTCGTATTTTTCTCAAAGGAATTCTGACTAGTCTGAAATCCTACTGTTGGGCAGTGGCTCCCCACCCACTTAGAGAACCCCTTCAGGCAGTTGCCGTGGGCAGATACTGTTTCCTCCTAGCGTTCTGAAAAACGAAGCAGTAGCTTGTCTTGGTGAATCATCAACTATCTTTGGCCATATAACTTTTGAACGATGCTGCAGGGATCCTTAAGGAGAGAAATGGAAAAAGTGTGGTGAGATAAAGCCTTTTATCAAAAAGCTTTTGGGGAGAAGATAACAGAGGAAAGCCCCCCGGGAAGTAAATCTGACTCCTCTCCCTGTAGTTTTTCTAGAGCTGAGGAGTCTGTGGGCAGTCTCTTTTATTTTCCCCCCAGTTTCAGTTTGGGGATACTGATTTAAATTCTCCCACCCCCACCCCCACCCCCGCCATCACTCAGTGTATCAGTGAGCATATGAATGATAGGTCTGATTTAGTACTGAGCAAAAATACAAAAGGAGCTCTGATAGCGTAGTGGTTACGAATCGGGCTGCGAACCTTAAGTCCAGCAGTTCGAAACTACCAGCCGTTCCGCGGGAGAAAGATGAGGCTTTCTGCTCCTGTAAAGATTTACAGCCTTGGAAACCCTGTACAGGGTCGCTATGGGTCGGAACGGACTCGAAGGCACTTAACAACAAAAATACAAAAGAGAATCTTTGTGTGTATGTGTGTGTTCAAAGGTATCTTAAATAAGCTGGGTGTTGAAAAAAGACAAGATGTGTGTGTCCCTTTGTTTTGTTTTTCATTAAGCAATAACTGCTTCATAGGACATGATAACTACATGGTCGGTGGTTCAAGCTCCTTGGAAACCCTATACAGGGTCGCTATGGGTCGCAACCGACTCAGTGGCACACAACAACAAAAACTTGATACCAGAAAGAAGTTGTTGAGCTGGTCAGCCTCTACTCTTTAAAGGGTGTATTTTTTTTGTTGTTTCCTCAAGGTAGATAGTTTAAAAGATGTATGAGTAAACTAGAACAAAGGCTAGTCACCTAATCACAGGTGTTAGAACAAAAGGTGGTCTGTATCTGATCTAATGGAACGTATGAAGGGGCTTCGCAAAGCTGCTGGACCAGTGGAATTTAAAGCAAATGGAACTTTTCCAGGAACTCTTTGAAGCCCCTTCACACTTTTTTTTTTTTTCCCCTCCCATGCTTTTATTTATTTTTATTTTAATGACAAGCAATGTGAACATCCCTCCAAAAATACTAAACTTAGTTTTCTTTTTACTTACTTTTTGTTTCCAACTCTCTTTTCACTCCAGACTTGGCTTCAACCCACTCAGGACATAGCGATTGCTCAGTTTCTGTGGCAAACCTTTCTCCTCTGACCTCGCCCACCAATCTGTTACAGCAGACTGAGGACCAAATTCCTTCCAACCTAGAAGGACCATTTGTGAACTTACTGCCTCCCCTGCTCCAAGAAGACTATCTACTAAGCCTTGGGGAGGAAGAAGGTATCAGTGATCTTTTTGATGCTTATGATTTGGAAAAACTCCCACTGGTGGAAGACTTCATGTGTAGTTGATTATGCCCTGCGTGAAATCCTCCATACAAACCAATATTTTTTTATTATGGAACTTCTGTCATACAGTGTTGTCCCTTCCTACCTTCTTCCTCCAAGATATTATCATGAAGTAAACTACAAACTTCAAACAAAGCTGACGTTTTAATGAATTAAAAAAAAAAAAAAAAAGTTTTTTTTTTTTAATTGTCTAAACGCACAGTTTGCAGGCTCCCTTGGGAAAGGCCTGCTTTGCCCCAGGCTCCAATCTCTTGGGTAAGTCAGCAAGTTGAGAAAATGTGCAATCAGGTGTCTCCCTCTCGGATTGGCTTGCTGTGACTGATGGATGGGCTGTAGAATGGGGGTCTGCCCACCTGGCCCACTCAACAACAGCTATCTTCCTTAATAGCATTTCAAGCCGTGCCTTCTCCGCAGAATGCATGTCTTTTTTGGGGGGTCTGCTAATACGGAGTGGAACTGCAGGAAATGTAAACGTGTGAAGTCATGCAGAAGTGTGAACCAGATTTCTTCAGCTCTTCTTAGGAATATTTAAATTACTGTCGTGATCCAGTTTAAGCTATGTACTTACTCTCTGTCACACGGGAGGTCAAGAGCACCTCCACAGCCTTCTGTATGAAGAACCTGTTTTCAAATCTGTCTCTCAAATACAGAAGAATTGTAAGAGTTCTGCCACTTCAAGCTTTGTGGATTTTCTTGTCTCCATAAACCACTCCCACCCACCTCCTGGCCCCCCAATGTCTTTGTAAGTTTAAATTTTTATTTGTAACCAATGCCTACTTAAGAGTTCTTTGTGGATTATTTTAAACTTCTTTTATTTGTGTTAGCTGCCATTGAAGCATTCCCCCATGGAACCCATCACCATTTCAATTTAATTGTTTACTTGGAAGAGGTTCTTGCTAATTTAAATGGGTTAAGCAGAGGGCGAGAACTTTAAACCTTTGTGATCAAAGCTTTAACAGCCTCTGCAAGAAGCCTGTCCCATCCAGCTTTGCTTCACTGGAGGGGCAGTTTGGGATGTGTCAGCCCTGGAGCTCACCACCACGGTGGCCCCTTTGAAAGGAGAACTAGGTTGGCAGTCCCAAGGAGCAGCAAAGACGGGTCCTTCCATCCTTGGACTTCCTGCCGATCTGGGGAAAGGGCTCTCTTACACTGCACTCAGGGAGATCAGATTGCGGGGCCTTCGGGAAGAAAGATCTACCCATTCCGCAAGGATACAGTGGCATTTACTTAAAAGTTGCTGAGAAGAGGGAGCCACCACTATTGTCCGGTGCTGTAAATAGTCCTGGCCACAACCTGAACCCCTTCGGCCATGAAGGAGTAAATTGGACCAAGGAAAATCAAACCTTAGAAAATGAAGTGATCAGATGCCAAGGCATCTCCCAGTTTACTCTTTGGGAATGCCATCCCAAGTTGAAAATCCTCATGGGTACATCCAAGAATAGCTTCCCTGTTGGCAGGTGGAGATGGCCATTTCCCACCAGGACTGTGGCATAGCACCTCCAGATCCATTCCTGGGATGTTCTAAGGACTTTGTGACTGAGGGGAGGAATGGACATTTGAAAAATAAAAATAACAATCGCAACAGTTAAATTGAAATGCTATGTGCCTGACAGCTAGGCTCATAGTAGGTACTCAGTTGATACGTGTTTCATTGAATGGAAAATATCCCTTAGGAAAACATCAGAAACAAGCTAAGAGAGAAAGCCCCAGCCAGTTTACTCTAGATGGATTTTCACAATATGCAAAGTGGTGGTGGGGTCAACGCAGTGACACCAGCACTTTAAACTACGTGTAGGTATGCATGGGTGTGTGTTTGGGAAGAAAAACAAAAGTGCAGGGGATCCCCCTGTTTCTTCTGCAGCCTCCATCCTCCCCGCCCTCCTCCCCTCACACACACTGGACTTGGTCCGAAATGAAGCATTGAGGTGAGGAGGGAGGGGAAGCTTTGTGTTAAGTGCCTACTGGAAATGCACTGTGGGGTTTTTTCCTGTATGGGAAACCATTTATGCCAAGCTTTTTTCCCATTTCCCATATTTATCTCATCTGGTTAGCTGCCTCTGCTTCCAGCTCTGTGTAATTCTCTTTGCCAGCTGCACAAAGCTGACTTTTCCCAAAGTCTAAAGAGAGAGCTCACCTGGCCTAGGTAGTTGTGCGTTTCGTTTTTCTCGTGAAACCTTTCGATAATGTAATGCTGTATTTATTGTTTTTGCAAAATGAAAGGAATACTAATAAGTCATAAACGTTCCTTCCAGCAAACAGGCTGAACTGATGTACATCAATTATAGATGCCCCATACTGTATTCTGTTTGCATTCGTCATTTTATTTTTGACATAGTATCTGGCACACAAAGTGGGTTAGTACTACAGTATTTGTGTTACTCTAAGTACTAAGTATGCAGGTTTCCTGGTACCATTGCTGCTATTAAAGCTCACACATGAAATGGCTAAAAGTTACAAGTATGCGAATTATGACTGCGTGAGCCTTAGAAACTAATGTATAAAGGGCAACACATGAGCTGTCAAACAGTGTTAGTTGTGTGTTTATATGTACAGATTTGAGCATAGCGAAGGTTTTATTTAAGTTGTGATGTAGTCTCACATTTTCATTATCTAGCAATTTTGTACAGAGATTTTAAAAAAAGAAAAAGAAAAAGGCAATTAATTTGTAAACACTGCCAGAATCTTTTCTAGCTGGTTTGTAATTTTTTAGGAGTGTGTCTTTGTTTTCGTCCTCTATTGTGGCTCTTGTTGTCTTTTTGTTGTTGTTGTTGTTGTTGTTGTTAAGTGTAGATCTGTAAATACAATTGCAGTATTTAAAGCTTTAGCTTTCAGGAAAAAGGAATTAAGAACTTGGTGTGTGCATGACAAGTCAGGTGTATGAGAGAAGAACTTTAAAGGAAGATGCTTGGAGAGGAAGTCGGGTGGCAAGTGTCTGGTTATGGGAATTTCTTTTCCTATGGGGTACGTGATTTTGTTTTTGTTTTTGTTTTTAAAAAAGGAAGTATATCTCCTGAAATTGGGAGTAGGCAAATTACTAATCATTTTAGCTTTGTGATGTATGCTAGTTTGGGGGGGGAAAAAAAAAAGAAGAAGAAGAAGAAAATATGTAATATAATGTAAAAAAAAAAAGGGGCGGGGCACTTTATGATGAATTTTGTAAATAGATTTGTTACAGGATGCCCTGTTCTCTAGCTGTGATCTTAACAACTTCAAATGGGTGTAATTTGAATAAATTTTGTATGGTAAAGGATCAATAAAATGATTTTTTTTATGAGTTCAGATTTGTGGATGGGTTTTTTAAATATTATAGTCATATATTTAAGTTTTAAAGGCAGCTTTTAAGTTGGAGTATCTGGGGTGTTGCAAAAGGTTAACAAGTTCATTGCTAATCAGGAGGTTAATGGTTCAAGTTCACCCCTCTGCTTTAGGAGACAGACCTGTTGATTTTGGACCATTGAAAACCCTATGGAACACAATTCTACTCTGATACATATTGAATTGCTATATGAGTTGAAATCAACATGACAGTAACTGGTTTATGTTAAGTTAAAGGGGCAAAAGTTGAATAAAAGCTCTCAATATCGAATGCCTTACCCTGTATCTATAACTCTGAGAATGTTGCAAAATATTTTATCCACCTGTGGTGTTGTAGACTATGAAGTAGAACTTACCATAGGTCCCTTTAACCACCTGCAGAGACATCTCCCAGGTATTGAAGAAAGATTTTTACATTGAGAAAGTGATTACATGTCAACCTTTAATTCTCATAAGAGGAATCGAAACAATAAACGTTTATTCTCAAAACTAGTAATTAGCTCCCTTGTTCTTGATTCTTTAATTTTTTTATAAATGGCATTCATTAGCAAATGGTTGTTGCTCATTGCCATCGAGTTGGTTCTAATACACAGCCATCTGCATAGGGTTTCTGAGGTGCGACTGATGGGTTTGAAGCACCAGCCTTGTGGTTAGCAGTGCAATGCTGATCCTACAGCACCACACCAGCTGCTGTGTCACACTCATCATCTAGAAACCCCACAGTCTTGGACAATTTTCCATGTTAACACTTTTTTTTTTAGCTTCAGATTTATTATTAGCAAAAAGGTAGACATTTGCTACCAAAATGGGGGGCGGGACAGTGCCTGGCTTACAAGTTTTCAACAGGGATTTTAGTTTCAGAGTGTGCTGGGGAATGTAGAGTCCCCACTGAATGATTTTCAGTGCCTAGATGAGTCTGGTGAAAGGAGATGAAAATAAGAGTCTTATGTTTCAATAGTGAGTGTTTGGTATTATGATTGTGTTTGTCACAACTGTAAAGTTGGTTTTGTAACAAAAAGTGGGGAGTAGTTAATCTGACATTCCAGGAACATCTTACAATCTAGGACCATCAAGGGAGAAGAGCATGAGCGGAATGCAGAACCCTGTCCAGAGAAGCAATGACACCAAAGATGGAGGCAGAGATGAGGACATGGGGAGAGAGAGCAGCTGAGGACTCTAGACTCATGGAAAGAGAAAGGCTATGTGCTAAGGGCTAAGAGGCAGGCTTGTAGAATTTGCCCTTTGGTTGTTTAAATGATTAATATATTCCTGAATGTTTTGATGTACATTCTCCCCAACCACCACTACCACCACCACCAAAAAAAAAAAAAAAAAAGGATGCAAAGGAAGAGGTGCACAGGGCAAGGTGCAAGGTGGTTTGGAAGGAATTACAGTGTAGTGCTTAGTGGTAGGTTACTTCCTCCTGTGCATCATCATGAACCAGGAAGCTTCCTGAGCCTCCATCCACCTTACAACGCTTTCACTGTTCTCACCATGTACCATGATGGATCAGTTCATATCTCATCAGTTCCCATTGGTTCCTCTAGTACTAGTCAGCCTACTAACTCATTAGTCTCAGAAACCAAAGGCCAATGGTTGTCTATGGTGATCCCACACCTGGCACTCACTAATAGTTTACTTGGTTGGTTGGTTATGTGCCATGGAATCAGTTCCGACTCAGCGAACCTGTACAGGGTTTCCGAGGCTGTAAATCTTTACGGGAGCAGAAAACCTCATCTT